TCCCCTCCCCCTCCCTTCCCCCTCCCCTTCCCTTTCCCTTCCCCTCTTCCCTTCCTCCTCTCTGCACTTCCTCCAGGCCCGGGTGCTCCATGCCTGCCCTCTGAGGCAGGAGGCGGGGGCAGTGGGGGCCCTGGCAGTGTCCCCGCTTAGCCAGAGGAAGGATGGGGAAAGGGCCAGGGGGGGACAGAGGCGCCCCCAGGCCAGGGCTGAGGTTCCCAGGAGGCTTTCCCAGAGGAAGGCTGAGCAGGCCCAGGAGCTCCAGAAGCCCAGGCTCTGCCTGAATGGACAGGAGCCCCCGTCGGACCAGATTCCCGGGCTTAGGCCGCCTGGGCCCGCTCCCTTCTGCCCAGCAGACCCACATCTCCCCACGCCATACCCTCCTCTGCCCCTCTCCTCAAATCCTGCTTGGAGACGGGACTTCCGGGTGCTTGGCCTGCCCTTGTGGATCTCTTCTCCCTCTCAATTCTCTTGCAGGGGGACCGAGGTTTTGACGGCCTGGCTGGGATCCCTGGAGAAAAGGGGAACAGGGTGAGTCCCGGCTGCATTTCTGCGTTGTTCTGCTTCCCAAAGGTTGCCAAGGAGAAGATGGGCCTCTGCTGGCTTTTTTTGTGGCAAGCCATTGATTTGGACCGACCGATTTCTCCGAGGACCAGCACCTTCTCGTCTTTCCCGGTTGTCTGGAGGCATCTCTGGGCTTCCATGTCAGGCTCTGTCACTTGTGACTCGGCCAAGGAATTTCCCCTGCCTCCGTTACGCATGAGGAGAGTCACCCATGACGTCTCTCAACCAGGGAAGAGAGGAGGGAGAATTTAAGGCCAGGACTCTTTTATTATCAAATCCCACATTTTTCTTAATTTCCAGCCATTACCACAGAGTCTTATGTGTGCTGTAAAAAAATATATATTTTGGGGGGATTTTAAAACATTGAAGACAGACGTTACTGGTGAAATGAGTGTCCGGGACCAATCCTGAAATCTCCAGGGCAGCTGTGCGTTGCGGTGGAAGATTTTAATGATGTGCTTGTTCAGGAATTGAGGTTTTTCCCAAACTTCAACAATGACACATCCAGGCCAACCTGGGGGAGGACGTCAGTGAGAAAACGGAAAGTGATTTGCAAATAATGGTCTTACAAATAATTCCCAGTGTTTTGAAGCATCCGGGCCCAGCAGGACAGCCGGTTCCAGGCCCAAAACCCTCTCAGGAGGCAGCTGGGTCTGTGGGCATTGTTCTTTTTGAGCCCCCCCCCCCCCCCATTGAGCAGCTCTTTACTGCTCCCCAGTAAAAATGCCCATCTGGGGTGCCACATTAATCCTCTTTCTTTCCTGCTGGCACCGCAGAGATCTTTACATTGGCATTTGATCACCTTGGTGACCCCCTTCCTTTGGATCCCTGTTTTCCTCATTCCTCGCAGCATCGCTATTTTTATTTTACTTCACATTTAACTCTGCCTGGCAACTGTCTCAGGAGGTTTGGCTTCCAGGCCAAGGAGTGCCAGCCAAGGACAGGTGGGGGGCTGGAGCTATAGGAGGAGCACGGGTGGCTGGACTGGGCAGAGGTAGTTGGCCTGGCCTCTGGGGAGAGGGATTTGCCTGTCCCTTCACCTACACACCCAGTGTGACCTTTAGAAGGGTACACACACACACAAGGACTTCCAAGAAGATCTATAGGAAGAGGCCACAGACCTGCCTCCCCTGCACAGCACCTCCTGGTCTCCCCCCATGGCATTTAGTGCATAGCAATGGAAGATTCTGCCAGGCCGACCTCTCAGCCTTGGACTCTTTAAGATTTTTTGGGGCGGGAGGGGGCATCAAAAACATGGCTGATGCTGCCCTTTTTTCCCTTCAGGGTGATCCTGGCCCCTCGGGCCCCCCAGGAGCCCCAGGTGAAGATGGTGACAGGGTGAGTTCTGGCAAGTGTTCTTTTGAATGTAATGTGGGGTCTGTTTATCATTCACTGAGCTTCCCTGGGGGAAGGAAGCCGCTGTGAATCAATCACTGCCACAATCCAGCAACACGGACACCAGGTTATGCCTCCTGAGGCGAAACAAAGAGTGGTGGGATATGGGATCCCACCCTATATACACAGGATGTATAAATATAGGAAGGTTTATAGAGAAAGGATTCAGCTGGTCACTCGATCCATCCCTGGTTGTCCTCCCTGGGTCAAATGTAGTCACCCAACTTTCATCTTTTGTTTAAGCAATTCAGCCAAGATCAGTGAGACCACAATTACAGCGGTCTTGTTCCAGCCTTTGGAGTCCTCGCCTTCAGAACAGAACAGAATAACAGAGTTGGAAGGGACCTTGGAGGTCTTCTAGTCCAACCCCCTGCTCAAGCAGGAGACCCCATACCATTTCAGACAAATGGTTGTCCAGTCTCTTTTTGAAAGCCTTCCAGTGATGGAGACCCACAACTTCAGGAGGCAAGCCGTTCTCACTGGTTGGTTGTTCTCACTCTTAGAATGTTTCTCCTTAGTTCTAGGTTGCTTCTCTCCTTGATTAGTTTCCATCCATTATTTCTTCTCCTGCTTTCTAGTGAATGATTAGGGCCTGATTAGGGTCTGGCTCTTACTCCCCTTTTTCTTTCTCTTGCCAAACAGGGTGACGATGGAGAAGTTGGGCCCAGAGGTCTCCCCGGCGAACCTGTAAGTTTCTGGAAAATGGAGCCAACCCTTTCCTTTGAACAAGGGGGGGGGGGGGCTTGCTTCCCAAGCAATATTTGGTAGGCATTTAAGGCACATGTCCAAGAGCAGAATTGATGGGGACCAGGGGAGGATGGCTGGGAATCAGCTGAGGTAACCAGAGGTCCCTACAGGAGTTCCAGGTATAATGTGTAGAAACGGTCCGGGTGATATTGTTTTTCAACTGCTCCTGCCACAGACTCTCCTGAGATGCTTCCCTGAAGGTGAATGTAGGATTTTTGTCTCTTGTAGCCTTAAACATGGCCAGAATAGGTGTTCTCCCCATTCCAGAATTTAAAATGCACATTTTGAGGTGCAGATTCAAATTCAGGGAAAGCAGAAGATGGTGATGCAGCCAGAGCTGTGAGTGTGTTACTCTAAAATGCCTCCTTGCTCTCATGGGACAACCTGGGCGGGTGGAGAGCTGCTTTCTACCCCAAATGCCTTCATTTGGAAGATTGTCTCCCAGAAGAGGCCTGGGTGCTCGAGGTCCCAGCATTGGGAAGACTGTAGAGCAGAGGCAGAAGGAAAGGAGACCTGCAAAGGTCAAGGTCAACCCCTTTGCTCTGTGGCCAGGAGAATCGCACAGAGGCCAGCAGGTCAGGTTTGATGCAAAGGAGACTTTATTCCCTGGGCTGGTGGCAAATCCTCCCTGCCAAAGCCAAGGGTCAGCATTCCGGGTGATGATCCCAACAGAGCAAGCACACCTGAGACATTCCGATCTCTAATGCAAGGCTTTATTGAGCATAGCATACCGGCACTAATGAATCGAAAGTCAGCTCTGATTAAATTGGCGTGAAAGCAGCACATTAAAAGTATAGCAGCTCCCTTTCCCCCCTGACAGTGCAGGTCACATTACCCGATTAAACTCCAGACAATTATTATGAGAATCTTCTGTTTCCAAAACAAACTCGTGGATGACCTTGCAGCTCCACAGGTGCAACCCACATTCCATTCTTCCCCACTCCCCTCCCTGGTTGTGTAGTGTGGGCAACCCAAAGAAGAAGAAAAAAAATATCTGAAGCAACATGACGTTTTTCCCGAGCTTGACACTTAAGTTCCATACAGTTATAGGAAAATTGACCCACAAATGCAAGAAAGGAAAGTCTCTCCTTGGAAATTTGGAAACAGCTTCTTTGTGCTTCCTTGTGTAATTACTGGTAATGTTTACATAACGCTTGGAAATGTTTCAAGCCCTTCCCTTGGGCCAGCTATGTCGACTGGGCTCCTTCGGTCATCTTGGCCATGAGGCACGTGGACGGATGTTATGGCCCAAAGACTTGGCGAGTTCCAAAGGAAGGAAGGAGGAACAGAGTCCTGTGGGCACAGCACGGCCTCCCAGGCGCTGCTCAGGAGAGGACCTAAGAAAGAGAAGACTTGAACCTGTCAGTGAACTCCCAGCCCAGGCCCTTCCACGGGCATCCTCAGACCGCATGTCTGGGGGGCTTCAGGAGTTCTTTACAGCCGGAGTTACCTCCCCCTCTTTCACGCCCGTACACAGACCTCCATTTCTTCCTAGCTCTTAAGAGAACTTGACAAGATGGAAATAAAGGCTACTGTTGTAATCACAAGAGTATCCGTCCAGCAGCTTTCATCAGGGATTTGCAGAGAGTAGCACTGACTTGTCTTGTTCAGATCCTTCCAGTTAGCATCAGCCTTCCTTTTTTTCCAACCTGCTTCTCCACGATGACATCAAAGCTGTTGATAGCTCTGAAACTGCCAGGTGCAACTGGAATTGTTTGGCTTCTGGAAGAAGCATCTCTTGCTGACAGATGGAGAGAGAAGGGGGGGGGATGGGGGCAGGAGCAGGGCGGTAATCTCGGCCTGGCTGCAGCCAGATTTGCTCATTGCCCTTCTGCGCTTCTGAATTGGCCACTCTTCCAGTTCCAGACACTCAGATGTGGATGAAGCTAAACTGGGTTTGTGTAGTTAGTGGTGGGCACTCAGCCGTACCATTGAGACAGAATTTGGCATTTGAGCAGAGCATATGATCTGAAGATACGAAGTGTGTGTGTGTGTGCGTGCGTGTGTGAACACAGAGAGTTAGGACCGCTGTGGGACATGAAGTTGAATGCCACTTTGGGGTGCTCTGTGTGTCTTTTATTTGCTCTGCTTTCCCGTCTTTTGTGCTTTGGGAATTTCCAATGCGAAATGAGCCTTTTGCAGAGGAGAGCAGTTGTATCCCAGCGGCTGCTCTGACTGAGAAGGAGAAGGGAGGCTACCGATTGGCTACAGAAGTTGTCACTCACCTTTTCTGGCTGAGAGAGCAGCCCTTTCCTCCGTTTCCTCTGCCCATAAGACCGTCTGAGCATCTGCACTTCTCCCCAGGGATGGTGAGCTCCTTGGTGCTCTCTGAGCTTGGCGGTTTGCCTGCCGATGTTTCTGAAGATTTTGGATCATGAAATGTCGGCCATCAGTTCACCAAGCTCAGAGAGCACCAAGGACTCCCGGATGCAAACCTGAGCTAATGTTGACGAAGTTCCTTGAATTGAGTGGCTGGGCAGAAGACCCATGGAGGCTGATGAGGCAGCTCCTCCAAACTGGTTCTTCTGCAGCTGAGAGCCAATTGGCACCAAGTGCACCTCTTCTTGGGTGGACAGGCAAGAGCCTCTGCTAAGAACATTGAGGTTGGCATGGTGGAAGCTTGTTGGCCCAGCAGATCCTCTCACATCAGTGGGTTTCACAAGGCTTCCAGCCAGTAGAAGAGATTGCCCAATCTGCTGTCATTAGAGGTCTTTCTCCATCAGGGCAGATATTATAACAGGGTTGGGAGGGACCTCAGAGGTCTTCTAGTTCAACCCCTTGCCCAAGGCAGGAGACCTTATACCATCCTGGACAAATGGTTTTGTCCAATCTTTTCTTGAAAAACTCCAGCGAAGGAACACATAATGTATACTAGGATCTTTTCACTCGGGGTATCAGCTCCACAAAATGCCTTTGTGCTGCTCAGCTTCAGACGATAGGTTGAAATTACGGTCCTTTTTGGTCAAGTTTATTTTTGTCCGCATATTGTTCAGAAGGCTGAGTGGACTGCTGGTTGCCAAAGAACTGTCAGTGTTTTATTTTTGTATTTTTCAGTTGATGCTAAACTCAAGTTTTGCTGATCTGTGAAATGGTTGTTTCAGCTGCTGAAAAGGCAGGCAGCTGTTCTCCCCCCTGAGGGCTGAAGAGGCTGCTTAAGCCCCCCTCAGCCTCCGGGCCTGGCAGGTTCTGAGGAGTTCTAAACCTGGGAGCCCAGAAAGAAGCCTCCCCCCCCCCCTCTCTCTCACTGAGTACTTGCTGCAATGAGTGGTAAAGTCCCCGCAGAGCCCAGGCGCTCCAAGAAGGACCGATGCCACCCAGGAGGCAGGAAAGCCAGTGTGGTTAGTGGTGAAGGCACCAGGCTAGGTGGTCATATCCTGGTGCTCCCAGGACAAGGTCAGCTTGCGGAGCAACTGTAAGGACCCACCCCACTCTACATCTTAAGAAGACAGAACTCTTGGAATATCTCTTCCAACAGGCATCTTTATTAAGAGAAGATGGTTGCAGGCGTTCTAGACAGGATCTGAGGGGCCAACCCCTACCATCCAAGGTTTTAAGTGTTCCCAAGCAGCCCCCACCCCACAGTTCTTCCAAGGCATTACATTTCTACCCCCTTTTTCCTCACTGCCGGCAGAAGGGAGACTTCAGAGAGATAGTAGATGAAAGGCTATGGCCAAATTGTTATGGTCAGTCCTCTTGATAAGAATCACATCCAGTCCTTTGTAGTTTAAATGAAGGAAGTGAGAGTCATAAAACCCCTTGCTCCCTCCTCCCCTTTTGTAGTATGACAGAATCCACAAAGAGTAAGAAATGGATCTTTTTTCAGAGTAGGTAGCTAGAATTGAAATATAATTGGATTCTGACAGCAACATTCACCCTCAACATGGTCCACTGTCTTTTCCAGGGCAGAGTTTATAGTGCAGCACAAGCTGAATTGTCTCTGCTCCTCGTGGGCACTTTCACATTAAACTTGCTTCTTCTCGCAGGGTCCTCGTGGTTTGCTTGGACCGAAGGGACCTCCGGGGCCACCAGGACCTCCGGTGAGTAGAAAGAAATGTTTTGGCAGGAAGCCGGGATGCCTCTCTGCCACCCGGGACGCCCCCCGTCCTTCGACTCTCACTTCATTGCAGTGGCAAAAAAACCTTCACTTGGTTTGCTTTCGTTGCCGGTATTTGGCATGGAAATATTTTTCCACCTGCCAATCGGAAGCAGAGTTTGCAGGGCCGATTGCAGGAAAGATGCAGGCCAGCTGGGGGGGGGGGAGGCTTCTGTTTGTGCTAATTGTGACTCACGTTGTGCCTCTTCCTTCCTTTTGTTAATCTTCCCACCAGGGCATTACTGGGATGGATGGACAGACTGGCCCTAAGGGGAATGTGGTAAGTGTCTGCCCACCACGGGTGATCTTACTTGTGCTGCATAAATTAAATCCACTAATTACTTTTTCAGACCGTCTTCATTTCAAAGCTGGTGGACGTTGCTTTCCTAAATGGTGCTAATTAAGTTTACCTTTTAAATTGATTTTCATGGGTTGCCTGTTGCATTTTTTTGAATAAAGGAATCACTGGAGTAATCAGTGGTCATCACAATGTTCCAGTATCGAGGGCTGTGTGTCTCTCTCAGTGTCTCATGAGGCACTTAGGCACATAATGAGTTGCACGCAGAGCTTGCTCTGGAAGCCAAAAGGAGGGAAGGACCTGGAGACGGCGCTCTTCCGGTCCTTGAAGGAGGAGGGGTGGGTTATTCTCCAGGGGCCCCCAAGGCAGGACAAGAACCTTCCGGGTGGGAGCCTTGCTGAGGGGAGACCTCAACTCAAAAGCAGGAGGCTGGTCCTGCGGTCTACGTCCTCTCTGTTGCTTTCATTTCTCTCTTCTGTCTTTTCTCTTGCAGCTATATCCAGACCCAGAGCCCCTCCTCACGGGCTCTCGTTTCCAGACCCCTCATCGTCCCTTCTGTGAACTTACTCCAGTTTCATAGAATCCTAGAACCCTAGGGATGGAAGGGGCCTCAGAGGTCTTCTAGTCCAACCCCCAGGGGCCCAAGGCAGGAGTCCTTATGCCATCCTGGACAAATGGGTGTCCAATCTTTCCTTGAAAACCTCCAGCGATGGAGCACCCACGACTCTGGGAGGCAAGCCGTCCCCTTGATTAATTTGTTGGAGTCCATTTTGAACTAATGGTACCCAGAACCCTAAAGGGGGGGTTTGACTGGGGCAGAAGTGAAGGGACAATCTGTTCCCGAGGGGTCCTCGGCGCTCTCTGAGCTGGGCCGATTTCTTGCAGACGTTTCGTTACCTAAACTCGGGAACGTCATCAGTGCTAGCCAGGAGTGGGATCTGCTCTCGTGTTAAGTCCTAGCGTCTTGCCCTGTCAGTGGGGGTGGGGTCTTAGAGGCCCTTGGGTTGGGCTGTTTTACTGTTAGCTTGTTTGACAGTTCCTTGGTGAGTGTAAGGACCCACCTCACTTTACATCTTAAGAAAACAGAACTCTTGGAATATCTTTTCCAACAGGCATCTTTATTAAGAGAAAATGATTGCCTGTTGGAAAAGATATTCCAAGAGTTCTGTCTTCTTAAGACGTAAAGTGAGGTGGGTCCTTACATTAGACCGGATCTGAGAAATTCTCTCCCATCCTTCAATGTTTTAAGAGTTCCCAAGCAGCCCCCACCCCACAGTTCTTCCGGGCGACGATCCTTGTTTCCCCCCTTTTTCCTTACTGCCAGCAAAAGGGAGACTTCAGAGAGCGAGTAGATGAAAGGCGATGGCCATATTGTTATGGTCAGTCCTCTTGGTGAGAATCAACATCCAGTCCTTTTGAAGTTTTAACGAAGGAAGTGAGAGCCATAAACCCCCCCGCTCATCCCCCTTCCCCTTCGTAGGATGACAGAATCCAGAGAGAGCAGAAATGGGGTTTTCCCAGAGTAGATAACTAGAAATGAAATATAATTGGATTCTGACAGTTAGGGCACTGTTTATTTCTTGAATGTTGGTCAGTTCTCCTAATCTGGGCTGGCCCTCAAGAGATCCCTTTTCCTTGAAGACGTTGCTCCCCTCTTCTGGCTCACATGTCCCACGTGGTGGAGGAGGAGACCCAGGCCCCCTTCGCATCCCACTGCCAGGACCCAGATCCTGTCCAGGGTCCTTTATTGTTTTTTTCCACCTAAATCTGCAACTTTAAATTTTCTCCCTGTTAAAGTTCCCTGCTACTCATTTCGGCTCCCTGTTGAAGCCGTCCTGGTCTTTCCGAATCTCCTCTTTCTCCTTTAGTTACCCCTGCTAGTTTTGTGTCCTCTACGTCTCCACCCTAAAGGGAGAGCAGGAGCCCTTCCCGTCCACCCCACCTTCACTTAGGACAGTGTTTCTCAACCTTGACAACTTTAAGGCATGTGGACTTCAACTCCCAGAATTCCACAGCCAGCATTGCTGGCTGTGGAATTCTGGGAGTTGAAGTCCACATGCCTTAAAGTTGTTAAGGTTGAGAAACACTGAAGTCTTAGCAGAAAGGTCGTTTCTTTCCTACAAGGAAGGAAATTCCGTGCTTGAAGAGGGACAACCCTCTTGTGGGTGATCAGTGTCTCGCACAGCTCTGTGCAGCTGTTCACTTTCTGAACTTGGAGCTATGTCAGAAGCAGCCTCAGGTTTGGACTCCGCTGTTTCACCTTGCTCAGAAACGAGAAAATACTTGGGCTGCAGGATACCTGACCTGACATTTCAGTGCTTTATGAGTTTATTTTTCAACTATGAAAAGCATTATTAGCACCCCAAAATGACAAAACCACGTAAAATGGGATGCTTCAGGATGATTTTCATTAGCAAATGTTAGAGGTTTTCTAAATAATCTTAGTAAGCAGGATTATACTGCTAGGAGTCATATTCCTGGCAACGACAAGTAACAAGTTTTCCTTGTTATTTTATACAGCATCACTGATAAAAAGTATAATCGGTTATAACACGAGGCCTCCAGTAGGTTTCTCCTTTTGGTTTCTCTCCAATGAAATCCAGCCAACCATGCTGAGTATGCTCTTTATGCTTTCTTTCTCAGGGTCCCCAAGGTGAGCCTGGACCCCCAGGTCAACAGGGAAGTCCAGGCGCTCAGGTGAGAAGGCGCAGTTCCATTAGGTGGGGCTGGGGATCCTTCGCCCCTTCCGCTGTGGGGCTAGAATAGTGCAGTGATGGTGAACCTTTTAGAGAGCGAGTGCCTAAACGTCAACCCAAAACCCACTTATGCATTGTCAGGTGCTGGGTGGGCGTGGCCGCCGGGTGGATGTGGCCCGCCGGTTGGGCGTGGCTACGGTGGGCATGGCAGACAGGTGGGCGTAGCCAGGGTGGGCATGGCCAACTCAATGTTGCTCCTGGGGAGGGACACCTGTGGGGGCCGGGCAGGATTGGGGGAGATCCAGGGGTCTCTGACGGGTGGGGCGGTGGGCAGGAGACTGGTTCTGTGGGGTGAGGCGAGGCAGGGGCCAGGGGGCTGCTGCCTGACACCATCAGTCCCCACACACAAAGGCCAGCAAGCGCATGGGACCTTGGCAAGTTAGTGGGCGGCTGGTTGAAGAAGACGGTTGCCATCTCTGGGGCATGGCGCACGTGCCCACAGAGAGGGCTCCGAGTGCCGCCTCTGGCACGCGTGCCATAGGTTCGCCACCATTGGAATAGGGCTTGTGATGGACATTCCTAATGTTGGTCAGTCAATTCATTTGAGGCCTGTAGCAAATTCACCTCTTACCACCTAAAATCCCAGCCTAAAGGCCTGGAAAGACAAACCACACTGAGGAGCTGAGGAGCCACGTCCAAGCTGGCCACTTTTTCCCGTATGGAAGGGACTTCAGTGTATGAGAGGACTTCCCTGCGTTGCCTCCGCAGCAGCCCCTCTGATGGGGGGAGATTGAGCGCTGGGGGCTCCCAGCCACTTGCCCCTGACAGCAGCACAGCCTTCCTGCCTGGGACCTTCCAAGCCAGCACGGAGAGAGGCTTGGTGCGGTGGTCTCAGCACTCTGGAAGATGCTATGCTGGGAAAAACCAGAAGATTTTTCCCCCTTTTCCTTGAGGATGGAAGTCCCAGAAACCTCCTTTGCAAGCCCCGTTACCAAGAATCTAGGAGAGCTGCAAGAATCCCAGCAAGCGAACTGCTGAACATGTCTGGGTGCTTTGGGGAGGGGGTTTTCTGAGCCTTTTGCTGCAGCTTTCCAGTGCACAGGGGAGGAGGTTGGTCTCCTGTGGGACACGTGAATCCCTTTTAGACTGAAAACCAGCCCTGATGTTGGAGCTACTGTTGGAATTTGGCAAATGGGGAGGGGGTTCAATTTGATTTGCAGAAGAAAACCCGGGTTTAAGCCTCAGGCACTGGCAGACTGGAAGCCGTCCCCTGGCTGAGTTAGGGCTGGGGTTAGGGTTAGGGAAGGAGGCGGCGCTGGTGCCCCTTTGCCTCTCACCCCCCCTTCTCTTTCTAGGGTCTTCCTGGTCCTCAAGGTCCAATTGGAGCCCCCGGAGAAAAGGTAGGTGGATGGCAAACTCTTCGGAAGAGGCTGGTGGACTTGGGGGTGGTTCCCGTTCTTGTGCGCAATATCCGCCTCTATATTTCTGGGGAGTCTTTTTCCTTTGCGGAAATGGATCAGACCTCCAGCTTCTTTATTACAGATTTTTAACGCTTGCAGCCTCTGAAAAGAGAGGTGGTGAAAATGGGGGCTGGAGCTGGGAATACCCCCAGGGTCAGTTCAGGCATTTGAGTTGCCCACATTCAGGCCGCCTGGCAGAGCACTGTCATCTGGCAGTGAATTTCCTCCGGAAGCCCCCACGGGTGGGTTTGTGGGCAGCGAGCAGAGACGTGCACGGCGGCCTCTCCTCTCCTGCTCCGGCCATCCGGAGTTGAACTGAAAGGCCCCTGCAAACAGATCAATACCTGTCAGCGGATCTCACCTCACAGGCCCCTGAGCCAACCTCAGCTCAGCTCCCGCTGTGTGTAATTGAGAGCCCTGGCTCAGTCTGAGCCCTTCGTTGGGTCACAGAGAACCCTTTGCGGTGTGAACGGGCTCCGAGGGAGGGACTGCAGGAGAGGCAGAAGGGATGCGCAAAGATTGTACTTGAGCCCCCCCTGAAACATCCAGGATGTTCCGAAGGGCTGGCTCCTGGGAATGAGAGAGTGCTCGGGCCACGTCCTGCTTCCTCAGAGGAGGAGTCTGCAGCCTCTGAAAGCCAAGAGCACAACTGGCAAACTTGTACGCTCAGTGCCGTTGCCATCCTGCACGTCTGTTGCAGAAATGACAGGAGTCCCACCTGCTTTTTCTCCCTTAGGGTCCCCTGGGAAAATCCGGCCTTCCTGGCATGCCTGGAGCAGATGGTCCCCCGGTAAGTCCTGCTGAGAATGCGACAGGAGCCCTCCCTCCCTCCCTCCCTCCCTCCCTCCCTCCACTGGATTCCTGCAGTGGGCAAGGGGTGTGCAAGATGATCTCCAAGGTCTCTCCCAACCCTTCCATTGTGCTAGTCTACGAACAAGCCAACACTGCTTGCAAAGAGCTGCAAGCATCGTACTCAATGAAGAAAGCAGGATGGCTGTAAATTGCAGCTTCCCTCCGAATGTCTTTAATCCTTGGCACACAAACACGGGCGCTTGGGAACCTGCCCATCTCCAGTTTTGGCTTCTGCAAGGAAGATTTGTTGGTTGTGCATCTCTTGCATCTGCCTACATTAATCAGAGATCCGATTCTGCTGCCTGGTTGAGTCCTGCAGGGAGAGGGAAGCTTTCAGGGGGGAGGGAGCTCCGTGCTTCCCCTGCACCCTGGACCGCACCGAGTCCTGGCGGACAGGGTACCTTGACCCCCGTCGTCTTGGTCCAGCCTGCAGAAATGGCCCCAGAAAGACAGCCAGGGGCTCGCGGGTGCAGCTCCGTCTCTTCGCTTCTGCTCTTTATGGATAATCGGGAGAAGCACCAGCAGGAAGGCTGGCAGGGGCTGTGCTGCTTTCTGGTGGGGGCAGCCCTTGGCAGCTGCTCAGCAGAGCTGATTTCCAGACTTGCTTTCTGTCCAGAGACGCATTTCCACGGCTTGATTTGTGGTGCTCACCCATGGCTAGCATGAGCCCTGGCTGTCTTGACCAAGATGGAGTATCCCGTAACCCAGAAGAACCCCCCTCTGTTCTTGTTCCTTCCTGGACCTTGGGCCTCAGTCCTATAGACGACCAGAGCCCTTTCTGTCTACCTGGCTGCCGAGTATGACAGCCAAGGCCGCTTGACTCTCCAAGAGAAGCTCCCAGCCCAGAGTGCTCGGTCTGCCCCAGCTGGAGGCAGACCGAGAGGGAAGGACACACAAGGCTGGGAAGGGGAAGCTGGGCCAACAAGCTCAACGCGGGAAGGGCAGGCAGCCCAGTTCACTGGCTTCTCTTGCTTTCCTTGCTTACAGGGCCACCCTGGCAAAGAAGGGCCTCCCGGCGAGAAGGGGAGCCAGGTAGGTAGATGGCGGCCCTGCCATTCCTCTGCCCTCGTGGGGAAAGGGGCTCACAGGCTGGGTGTGCGGGGTGCAGGGCAAACACAACCCAACAGTCTGCAGACTTGAGAGGGCAGAGTGGGAGGAGCCTTAACTAACCTTGCTTCTACACTCCCCTTGTCAGTGGGGTGGGGGGTGAGGGGGAAGTACCACCGAAAGGTGCAGCTACTGGTTTCTCCCAGCTGAAGGACTTCCCTTAAGCCGGCTTCTCATACCTTTGCCGAAGACAATGATGCCTAGTGGCGTTTGCCTACAGGTGTTGAAATTCACCAAGACGGTGGTGCTGGGAAGAGACGGGACTGGGAGAAATCGCCGCTGCCCCCCTGCCTGGGGCGATCCTCTCCTCCTTATCCTGGCTTTGCACAAGGGCCAGGGTCTGGGCTCCCAGAATTGAAAAGGGCCGGCCATCCATCGAAATGTCCGTAGCTGCTCTGGAAGTCCTTGAGCAAGTGGCAGGGAGTTGCCGGCCGTCTGTGGAGCCCCAGGTGCTGCCTTCCCTGCCTCTGGACCGCAAGGCTTAGATCTCTCAGAAGCCTGTGTGGGATCACACGATGGTGTATGTAGTGGTAGCTGAGAGGGAGGGGTAGGAGTAGGGTGGAAGCTGAGGAGAGAGCTGCCCTCTCTCCCCCACCCACCCAAATGGGATCAACCCCCTCCTCACTTGTGAGCTGGGGATCCTTCACTGGAACAGGTGCCCTGTTTAAAGAATACTGCATCTCCTTAAAATAAGACGCAAAGATGCAGTTGAAAATACGGCAATGTCATCCTAGTAATTTTAGTTTACTGATGTCAGAAGAGGCCTCTCCTATTAAAAAGAAATGATTCATGCATTATCTTTTAACCATTCAGATCGAACAAACTGCAGCTGGAATTCAGTTTCAAGAATAAACCACAGACAGAGAACTGTAAAACAGACAGTAAAATAAAATACTCATGGAATGGCCAGTCTTTCTGATTTAGCGCTGAAGCTTCCAAAGCAGCCCTGAAGACGTCCTTGGCCTTGTCTTGTTGGGTTAGAAGGGGAAGAGCAGATTAGCGCCTCTTTGAAGTCAGGGCACTGAGTCCGGTTAAATTCTGCCTAATGCTGAAAACTCGGGCAAAATAATTACACCAGAATTTTATGACTTCAGCAAAACATCCCAGGTTATAGAGAAAAATGACAAGTCACCAGAGGGAACTCAGATGTTTTCTGCTAGGAAACCTGGTCATTGTCAGAACGAGGCTTTCCAGCAGGCACAGAAATCCATGGGTCCCTTTTGAGCCAAAGCATGGAGGACCTATGCAGGGTTGGGGGGGGTGTCATTGTTAAAACATATCATGGGAAGCGCATTACCTGGTGGTGTGTCTTTCTGTGGCCCCTCAGCCAAGGGAAGCCAGAATCTTCTGGACTTGAAGATTCCCTTCCTGGAGGGTGAGGTTGGGCCTTCCCGGAGTAGATCAGGCAATGGAAAGGATCTCTCCTCTCTTCAAACTTCTTGATCACGTGGGGATCCAGGAGGGCTACCTCAAACCTGCAAACTTTTATCTTGAATTTAGGGAGGTGATGAGGACAGTGTAGGGATAGGTAGTGATTTGGCACATCTGCATTTATTGCTGCAGATGTTCTTTCCATAGGGTGGCATTCATGAAAGAGCGCTAGCAAGAGCTCTCCTTCTGGCTTCTAAAGCCATGTGGAGGCCACAACGTACCCGGAGTTAGTTCGCTCTAGCAACCCATAACCCACAACCCTAACTGCTGCTTTTAGCAGCCAAGCCATGGTTTGCTCAGGGTGTGTGAAGCAGGCCCTCAAGTCCCGGCATATAAGACGGGTGTTGTCTTGGGCATAATGTTGTATGCCCAGCTTGGGGAATTTGTTTACCCGCAAGGTGGGCCCAGCTCTGATTTGCTGGCAGGAAGGGGCATAAATGTCTATTTTCTCTCAAAGGGCACTTCAGGATGGCTGAATTCTCTCTCTCCCCCCCCCTTGTCCTCTGATCACAGGGTCCAGCTGGCCCCCAGGGCCCACTTGGGTATCCCGGCTCCCGTGGAGTGAAGGTAAGCAACCTGAGCCCCTTCTTGGGCCCTTCTGCATGCTGAGATGCAGCTGGGGCTTAATGGCCTCCCCCATTCCATCCCCCTCATAAGAGTCGTGTGAAGGTTTAGTGGGTCTTGAAACGAGCCTTTTTTGAGCCCGACAAAAGGACACTGGGGACTGGTCTGCCTTCTGTTGCCTCCTAGGAGGATGGAGAGCTAGTCTGCCCTTCTGAAAAAGTCCTGCTGGCATAGGCAGGGCTTCCTCTAGCCCAGCATCCAGAACCAGAACAGGCTTTAGGGATATTTGCAGGCAAGTCCTAAAGGCCCCGAGGATCAGGAGATACTAACTGCCGAAGAAGCAAAGTTCCAGCAACTGCACCTCTGTTGAAGTGGCCAATTTGTTTCCCCGCCCAGCCTTTAATCAAAATGTCTTCCTCGCTTCATTTGGCTCTCTCCTGGGCTAGAGCGGATGGTTGCAAAAGGGCCCACCGATTACAAGTGGAGAACACCTCTGAAACGGCTTCCGAGCGAACAACTCAAGAGTTTCTCATGCCAGCATTAAGCTTTAATGCTGGCTGAACTCTTCACTCTTGATCATGGCTATTAACGAGGGATCAGAACTTTGGATATGGTCAGAGGATACATTCCTGGACCGCCCAACTGTTGCCACCCTGGGATGTTGAATGAAGGTGCACTTATAATAATGCACCTCCAAGTGCACCTTGGAGGTCATCTAGTCCAACCTCCTGCTCAGGCAGGAAACCCTATACCATTTCAGACAAATGGCTGTCCAGTCTCTTCTTAAAAACTTCCAGTGTTGGAGCATTCACCGCTTCTGGAGGCAGGTTGTTCCACTTGTTAATTGTTCTAACTGTCAGGAAGTTTCTCCTTAGTTCTTGGTTGCTTCTCTCTTTGGTTAGTTTCCATCCGTTGCTTCTTGTCCTGCCTTCTGGTGCTTTGGAAAATAGCTTGACTCCCTCTTCTTTGTGGCAGCCCCTGAGATATTGGAACACTGCTGTCATGTCCCCCCTTGTCCTTCTCTTCATTAAACTAGACATACCCAATTCTAGCAACCATTCCTTATATGTTTTAGCCTTCAGTCCCCTGATAATCTTTGTTGCTCTTCTCTGTACTCTTTCTAGAGTCTCAACATCTTTTTTACATTGTCGTGAGCAAAACTGGATGCAGGATTCCAAGTGTGGCCTTACCAAGGCATTGTAAAGTGGTATTAACACTTCACGTGATACTGATTCTATCCCTCTGTTAATGCAGCCTAGCATTGTGTTGGCTTTTTTGGAAGCTGGAGCACACTGCTGGCTCATATTTAAGTGACTGTCCACTAGGACTCCAAGATCCCTCTCATAGTTGCTACTATTGAGCAAGGTACCATCTATACTATACCTGTGCATTTGTTTTTTCTTGCCTAAATGTAGAACCTTACTTTTTTCACCATTGAATTTCATTTTGTTAGATAGCGCCCAATGTTCAAGTCTGTCAACATCCTTCTGTATCTTAAGCCTGTCTTCTGGAGTGTTGGCTATTCCTGCCAGCTTGGTGTCGTCTGCATATTTGATGAGTTCCCCATCTATCCCCTCATCCAAATCATTAATGAAGATGTTGAAGAGCCCTGGGCCCAGAACAGAGCCCTGGGGCACCCCACTATACACTTCCCTCCATTTAGATGCAGTTCCATTGAGGACCACATGCTGAGTATTGCTGGTCAGCCAGCTACGAATCCATCTGGTGGTGATGTTGTCTAACCCACATTTTTCTATCTTGTCAAGTAGTAGGTTGTGGTCTACTTTATCAAATGCCTTACTGAAGTCCAAGTAAATTATATCCACAGCATTCCTCTGGTCCACTAATTTTGTCACCTGGTCAAAGAATGCAATGAGATTTGTCTAGTATGATCTATTTTTGACAAACCCATGTTGGCTTTTGGTAATGACTTGGTTTGCCTCTAGGTGTTCACTGATTCGTTGCTTGATTATCTTTTCCAAGATCTTCCCAGGTATTGAGGTCAGGCTGATAGGTCTGCAATTTCCTGGGTCCTTTTTTCCCCCTTTTTTGAAGATGGGAACTACTTCAGCTCTTTACCAGTCCTCTGGTAGTTCCCCAGTGCTCCAGGATCTTTGAAAAATATAGTTCAGTGGTTCTGAGATCATATCTGCCAGTTCCTTCACAACCTTGGGGTGTAATCCATCTGGTCCTGGTGATTTGAACTCATCTAGGGTGGACAAGTGCTCACTTATCATTTTCTTGCCTATCTTAACTTGTGTTTCTAATCTGTATTTTACGGTACTGTTTTTGATAGGTTGGACTATTTTTTCCCTTTGTGTAAATACAGATGCAAAAAACAAGTTGAGTAGTTCTGCTTTCTCACTGTTGCTTGTCACCTTCTTGCCACTTTCTCCCCCTAATGGACCAATCATTTCTTTAACTTTTTTCTTGTTTTTTACATGTTGAAAGAAGCTTTTTTTGTTATTTTTGACTTTTGTCACAAGCCTTAGTTCATTTTGAGTCTTTGCTTTCTTCACTTCATCTTTGCAGGCTCAGGCTATTTGCTGATGTTCTGCCTTAGTTATGTTCCCCTCTTTCCACTTTTTATACTTGTCCTTCTTGTCTTTCAGTTTATCAGAGAATTCTTTATACAGCCATGCTGGTTTCTTTTGAGAGCTGTTATTTTTCTCCTTCGTTGGTATTGTGCTGGACTGGGCTTTTATAATTTCACTTTTTAAATTTTCCTAAACTTCTTGAGTTGTTTTCTCCTTGAGGATTCTCATCCATGGAATCCTTCCCAAGCTCTCTCTAAGTTTGTTGAAATTAGCTCTCTTAAAGTTCAAGACTCTAGTTTGACTATGTTCTGTTGCTTGTGCTTGCATAATGTTGAATTCCAACATTGCATGGTCACTCCCCACCAAGGTTCCTCTGGTTTCAACACCTTCTATCATTTCATCTCTGTTAGTGAGAATTAAGTGCAATAGGGCTGATTCCCTAGTTCCCTTCTCTACTTTTTAGGAGACAAAGTTGTCTGTTAGGTTTGTGAGGAATCTGTTTGATCTTCCACTTGGTGCAGAGTGTCTCCCAGTTGATGTCAGGGTAATTAAAATCCCCCATTACTATTGTGATGTGCTTCCTACATACCTTAGTTAACTGACTAGCAAAAAGTTCACCTATTACTTCTGTTTGGTTGGGGGGGCCTATAGCAGAGGTCCCCAACCAGGGACCGGTTCCGTGGAGAGAGGTTATTCCGTGGACTGGAGGGGGTGTAGTTTTGTGTGCTGCCTGCATCTTGTGGATGGGGCTTTCGTTTGTGCGGACTGGTTCCTGGCATGCCACGGCCTGGTACTGGTCCACGGACTGGGGGTTGGGGACCCCTGGCTTATAGTATACACCTATGGCAATGTCATTTTTTCCTTCTTTTATATTGACCCAAATGCATTCAGGACAGTTTTCATCATTGTTGTCCTCTATTTCTGTAGAGATAGTTATTCTTATATAGAGAGCAACTCCACCTCCTCTTTTATTTGGTCTGTTTCTTTTAAGTAATTTGAATCTCTCTAGCCGTGTGTTCCATTTGTGGGTTTCATCCCACCAAGTTTCCGTAATGGCAACAATATCATATTTGCCCTCATTTGCCCCCCCCCCTCTCCTCTCTTCCTCTCTCTGTCTCTGTCTTTGTCTCTGTCTCTCCTCTCTTCCTCTCCTCTCTCTCTCTCTCTGTCTGTCTCTCTCCCTCTCCTCTCTTCCTCTCTGTGTCTCTGTCTCTGTCTCTGTCTCTCTCTCTCTTGCTCTCTCTTTCTCCTTGCCTGCCCCGTTGGCCTCCCCAGTTCCCGGGGATGCGTTCAGGAGCAGCCTCTGGGAGTGACCAGATGGATCCTTCCTGCTGTTCTGCACCTGGGTTGTTCCACAAGTGTCCATTTCCAGGTCAATCCTGGAAATTGAAATAATGCCTAAATCTGATCCCAGCAGTGGAAGGCAAAGGGAACACCTCAGCATTCAAATCATTAGGCGCCCCCCNTCCCTGCTACTCATTTCGGCTCCCTGTTGAAGCCGTCCTGGTCTTTCCGAATCTCCTCTTTCTCCTTTAGTTACCCCTGCTAGTTTTGTGTCCTCTACGTCTCCACCCTAAAGGGAGAGCAGGAGCCCTTCCCGTCCACCCCACCTTCACTTAGGACAGTGTTTCTCAACCTTGACAACTTTAAGGCATGTGGACTTCAGCTCCCAGAATTCCACAGCCAGCATTGCTGGCTGTGGAATTCTGGGAGTTGAAGTCCACATGCCTTAAAGTTGTTAAGGTTGAGAAACACTGAAGTCTTAGCAGAAAGGTCGTTTCTTTCCTACAAGGAAGGAAATTCCGTGCTTGAAGAGGGACAACCCTCTTGTGGGTGATCAGCGTCTCGCACAGCTCTGTGCAGCTGTTCACTTTCTGAACTCGGAGCTATGTCAGAAGCAGCCTCAGGTTTGGAATCCGCTATTTCACCTTGCTCAGAAATGAGAAAATACTTGGGCTGCAGGATACCTGACCTGACATTTCAGTGCTTTATGAGGTTTTTTTTTTTTCAGCCATGAAAAGCATTATTAGCACCCCAAAAGTGACAAAACCAGGTAAAATGGGATGCTTCAGGATGATTTTCATTGGCAAATGTTAGAGGTTTTCTAAATAATCTTAGTAAGCAGGATTATACTGCTAGGAGTCGTATTCCTGGCAACGACAAGTAACAAGTTTTCCTTGTTATTTTATACAGCATCACTGATAAAAAGTATAATCGGTTATAACACGAGGCCTCCAGTAGGTTTCTCCTTTTGGTTTCTCTCAAATGAAATCCAGCCAACCATGCTGAGTATGCTCTTTATGCTTTCTTTCTCAGGGTCCTCAAGGTGAGCCTGGACCCCCAGGTCAACAGGGAAGTCCAGGCGCTCAGGTGAGAAGGCGCAGTTCCATTAGGTGGGGCTGGGGATCCGTCGCCCCTTCCGCTGTGGGGCTAGAATAGGGCAGTGATGGCGAACCTTTTAGAGAG